TCTTAAGTCGTGGTATTACAACACCATTCAAATTCGATTCAACTTATTCAAATTCAAGGCATTTTACGCAATAATCATTCAGATAACTTAGACTGTAATAATGTCAAAACGATGTATAATACTAATGCATTATGGAGTATTTGCTGTATAAAATAAAGTTCCTTTTCTGAATGCAAAGTTTTATTACATAAGTTTTCAAACGTTGCGAATCGAAACAGTTAACACTGATGATTCCAGAGAAACAACGGATGAACCCAGAAAGGTGACGTCATTATCCAAATTTAGCAGCTTTATAAAGACTTACATTGAATATGGTGACTGCTAGACTTACATTTAATATGGTGACTGATTGACTTACATTTAATATGGTGACTGCTTGACTTACATTTAATGTGTTGACTGCTTGACCTACATTTAATATGATGACTTCTAGACTTACATTTAATATGATGACTTCTAGACTTACATTTAATATGATGACTTCTTGACTTACATTTAATATGATGACTTCTTGACTTACATTTAGTATGATTACTTCTTGACTTACATTTAATATGATGACTGCTTGACTTACATTGAATATGGTGACTGCTTGACTTACATTGAATAAGATGACTGACTTACATTTAATATGATGACTTCTTGACTTACATTTAATATGGTGACTGCTTGACTTACATTGAATATGATGACTTCTTGACTTACATTTAATATGATGACTGACTGACTTACATTGAATATGATGACTGACTTACATTTAATATGATGACTTCTTGACTTACATTGAATATGATGACTGACTGACTTACATTTAACATGGTGACTGACTGACTTACATTTAATATGGTGACCGAGAACCTGCTAGAGTTCAGGTTCCCCTCGTTCTCCCAGGAGTACCAAGACCGCCACAGTCTGCGAGGGGGGACGTTAGAGATGCAGGCTGTCGTCTGGCTCCCCGAGCGTCCCTGGAGAAACCTCAGAACAGACGTGGCCTTGCTCGTGTTGACGCTCACGTGACTCAAGACGCTCAGCAGATAGGCGTCACCCTGACTCGTGAACGTGTATGCGGTGGAATTGTTCTCAAACTAAATTTGAAACAAACACATTTTTTTTTAAATTTTCTCTATAGTCTTACGAAGTAGGACTATAGAGAAAGTCTTGTAATCGTGAAAGAAATAAAAATCTAAATTTTTGCAAATCTCGACGTTTTAGGGCTACCTGAGTCGGAAAAACATAGTTTTGCAATCTTGTCCGTATGTCTGTGTGTATGTGTGTATGTTGTGTGTGTGTATATATCTGTAAACACGATAACTTGAGTACCGTTACAGCTAGGTTGATGAAATTTGATATATAAGTATTATATCAAAATCATAGATCCGTTTCAACTTTTGAGCGATTTCCGATAACCGGAAGTGGAACTTTTTCTACTTCTAATTTTTCAAAAGCCTATAACTAGAGTACTATTTCAGATAGAAAAATGAAATTTCACATGTAAGTAAAAGATCTAATTCTCTACCTTCTGTTACATTTTGAGTAATTTCCGTTGACCGAAGTAATAAATCTTTGCTATTTCTGATTTCTCAAAAAAAGCATGTGAATTTATAAAGTACTAATAATTTTTCGCACTACTATGCACATTTTATTTAGCGTTCATTTGGTGTGCAATTCTTTTTTCTACGAGATTTTATTCTATTTTAAAAAGTTTAAGTAATTAAAATGGATTAAAAGTGATGTCTATATCCCGAGTTGAGTTGCCATCCCCTGTTGTTTCATATTAGAATATTCGAAAAAGTTTAGGGGAGATCACTCCCCAGAGGCGTATCCAGGTTTTCGTTGTAGGGGGAGCGAAAAAAGCAAAAAAAGGCGCCGAATTTTTAACATGTTCTATATACGTGTATTATATATATATATATATATATATATATATATATATATATATATATATATATATATATATATATATATATATAATTACTAGCTGTATGCCATTACTTCGCTATGATGTACAATAAATTGAAAGTAGCACTCTGAAGAAATAAGAAAAAACACACAATGTAGGCCGACAAAACAAAAATTGTATCAATATAAACCACAAAAAATGTTATACACACACTACAACCAAAAACAATGCAATTCTTGTAAAATAAATTTCTTATATAATAATTCCTGGGAAATTATTTAAGACAAGTGAAATAGGGGAAATAATCACTATCTTGATATAAATATGTATATATCTACACATTTAATTGTAAATGTCAAAACAAATAAATAATTACTTTAGAATATAATGAGATTATTTAACACTATTCGTGTTTATAAAATGTTGTTGTCTATAATCAAAATTTAATATATCGTCATCATAAATGCTAAAGTTTTACAGCATAATGAAAGTTTTTAAAATCAGAGTTGGTATAAAGCCACGTTTTTCGTTATAATTGAAAAACATACGGGATAACAGCCTACATTTAACTAAATAATGGTCTTTTTAGTTCAGTTCCTACATTTTTAATTAACTACTGCTTCTTTGTGTTCTTTAAAGATCATTTTTTAACACAGTGATAGGTATGGGTTTGATCACTGTATTGCTCACACACCTTTTTACTGGTAATTGCAAAAACAATATTCACAGTTTTACGTTTAAAAAGCTAATTTTCTGGCGGCATGGAACTTTGGTACATCATTACGTGTTTTTCTACATGTACTTAACAGATCAGATCGGGGTGGGATTGGGGGGTGGGCGGGGTTCAACTTCAATCACCACTGTCCGGTCACTTTAGGTCAATTATCCAACCCAGTGTATACCTAGGTGTGACATTAATGTCGCTCTACACAATTGTGGTGGTGAGGTGTGGGGGGGGGGGGGGGGAGAGATAACCAACTCAGAGTGAACATAGCATCAGTTTTTAGATGACTGTTCTAAACATACATATATATTACACAAATATATATTACACAAATCTATATTACAGAAATAGATTTAAATAAGTAGCAGTGGTATTATGACAATATTTATTTTACAGAGTGGTCCATGGGGGAGGGGGTTGTAACTGTTTCATATAATTTGTTATCGTAATCACTATCGCCCAAACTGTAAGAATACTACTACTTCATCGTGACGACGTTGTTGACTTTGTCAAAATTTCCCCACCACTACGCAGGTTGCTCATAAGTAAATTTAAATAGTGGTGCCACATCAGTTGTATTTGTTTCTGTATTGTAATTTTTTTTTAAATTAATCACACGATTCAAACTGTATGTATAAAGTAATTATGTGTGAAGTTTTATGTATAACATTTTCTAATTCAATTATTCGTAAGCAAATACATTATACAGTTGCCTTAAACTTAACACCCCTCTAGCCAAGTGGTACTACCCGTAGAGGTTTAGTTAAACATTACAATGCATCGTAATGGTTATTTTTAGAATGGCAAACTGATGCAGCTGTTAATACGTGTTGTAAACGTAGACACTACTAGACTAGTACAATAATGCTTAATTGCTGCATGAAAAGAAATCTTGTGATTTACATAGATGTGCCGACCAAAAATATTTTTTTAACAAAAATCATTGTTTAAAACTTTGAGTTTTAAAAAGTTTCCAAAAAGGCGCCACTTTGCTTAAAATGGCCAGAGGGGGGGGGGGGGGGGGGGGCGGCCGCTCCCCCTGCTCCACCCCTATGTACGCTACTGTCACTCCCGGTTTTTTTTACATCTAAACGTGTATGAAATGGCTTTGTTCTCAAATTAGATTTGAAATAAAAACATTTTTTTTTACATCTAAACGTGTTATAGCAACAAAAAAACATAGCAAACAAATATTGAGTTACCCATAAGGTATTACTGCTATAGAAAGAAGCGACCCTATATGACGCCACTGTCTTGTCAGTGATGCCATTCAACCAGAGCCCGTTGGTCCAGATGTTCCCAGTGTCTGTCTCGTCCATAGCGGGCAGGAGTTGTTCAAAGGAAAGGTCACTCTTCACCTGTACAGCAAACTTTAATTGATGAGAAGGTGAGTACAATGGTACTTCGCAATAGCAAAATGTGTGTAGAGTTGGCAACGTTTGAATATGCAGTAAAGTGGGGTAGGTGGCAATGTGTAGAGTAGGCAACGTTTGAGCACGCAGTAAAGTGGGGTAGGTAGCAATGTGTAGAGTAGGCAACGTATGAACACGCAGTAAAATGGGGTAGGTGGCAATGTGTAGAGTAGGCAACGTTTGAACGCGGTAAAGTGGGGTAGGTGGCAATGTGTAGAGTAGGCAACGTTTGAACACGCAGTAAAGTGGGGTAGATGGCAATGTGTAGAGTAGGCAACGTTTGAACACGCAGTAAAGTGGGGTAGGTGGCAATGTGTAGAGTAGGCAACGTTTGAACACGCGGTAAAGTGGGGTAGGTGGCAATGTGTAGAGTAGGCAACGTTTGAACACGCAGTAAAGTGGGGTAGGTGGCAATGTGTAGAGTAGGCAACGTTTGAACACGCGGTAAAGTGGGGTAGGTGGCAATGTGTAGAGTAGGCAACGTTTGAACGCGGTAAAGTGGGGTAGGTGGCAATGTGTAGAGTAGGCAACGTTTGAACACGCGGTAAAGTGGGGTAGGTGGCAATGTGTAGAGCAGGCAACGTTTGAACACGCGGTAAAGTGGGGTAGGTGGCAATGTGTAGAGTAGGCAACGTTTGAACACGCGGTAAAGTGGGGTAGGTGGCAATGTGTAGAGTAGGCAACGTTCGAACACGCAGTAAAGTGGGGTAGGTGGCAATGTGTAGAGTAGGCAACGTTTGTACACGCAGTAAAGTGGGGTAGGTGGCAATGTGTAGAGTAGGCAACGTTTGAACACTCAGTAAAGTGAATAAGGTGGCAAGGTGTAGATTTTGGAAGCAGCAGTGGCGTCGCTAGGCCGAGTGTCACCCTTTAATTAACCTTTCATTGAATTGTCGAAAAAACATATATAATCTATATATCTTGGAACATTTTTGTCTTGGTGTCACCCCCCACCCCATTGGTGTCACCCGATGCGGTCTGCACCTCCCGTTCCGCCTCGAGACGCCGTTGGGAAGCAACAGCTTGAAGCTGGAGTGTTGGAGCTTGAGAGTTGGAGTTGGAGAGTTGGAGCTGGAGAGTTGGAGAGTTGGAGCTGGAGAGTTGGAGCTGGAGAGTTGGAGCTGGAGAGTTGGAGCTGGAGAGTTGGAGAGTTGGAGCTGGAGATTTTGAGAGTTGTAGCTGGAGAGTTGGAGCTGGAGAGTTGGAGCTGGAGAGTTGGAGCTGGAGAGTTGGAGCTGGAGAGTTGGAGCTGGAGAGTTGAAGCTGGAGAGTTGAAGCTGGAGAGTTGGAGCTGGAGAGTTGGAGCTGGAGAGTTGGAGCTAGAGAGTTGGAGCTGGAGAGCTGGAGCTGTAGAGTTGGAGCTGGAGAGTTGGAGCTGGAGAGTTGGAGCTGGAGAGTTGGAGCTGGAGAGTTGGAGCTGGAGAGTTGGAGCTGGAGAGTTGGAGCTGGAGAGTTGGAGCTGGAGAGTTGGAGCTGGAGAGTTGGAGCTGGAAAGTTGGAGCTGGAGAGTTGGAGCTGTAGAGTTGGAGAGTTGGAGCTAGAGAGTTGGAGCTGGAGAGTTGGAGCTGGAGAGTTGGAGCTGTAGAGTTGGAGAGTTGGAGCTAGAGAGTTGGAGCTGGAGAGCTGGAGCTGTAGAGTTGGAGCTGGAGAGTTGGAGCTGGAGAGTTGGAGCTGTAGAGTTGGAGAGTTGGAGCTAGAGAGTTGGAGCTGGAGAGCTGGAGCTGTAGAGTTGGAGCTGGAGAGTTGGAGCTGGAGAGTTGGAGCTGTAGAGTTGGAGAGTTGGAGCTAGAGAGTTGGAGCTGGAGAGCTGGAGCTGTAGAGTTGGAGCTGGAGAGTTGGAGCTGGAGAGTTGGAGCTGGAGAGTTGGAGCTGGAGAGTTGGAGAGTTGGAGTTGGAGAGTTGGAGCTAGAGAGTTGAAGCTGGAGAGTTGGAGCTGTAGAGTTGGAGAGTTGGAGTTGGAGAGTTGGAGCTAGAGAGTTGAAGCTGGAGAGTTGGAGCTGTAGAGTTGGAGAGTTGGAGCTAGAGAGTTGGAGCTGGAGAGCTGGAGCTGTAGAGTTGGAGCTGGAGAGTTGGAGCTGGAGAGTTGGAGCTGGAGAGTTGGAGCTGGAGAGTTGGAGAGTTGGAGCTGGAGAGTTGGAGCTGGAGAGTTGGAGCTGGAGAGTTGGAGCTGGAGAGCTGGAGCTGTAGAGTTGGAGCTGGAGAGTTGGAGCTGGAGAGTTGGAGCTGGAGAGTTGGAGCTGGAGAGTTGGAGAGTTGGAGCTGGAGAGTTGGAGCTGGAGAGTTGGAGCTGGAGAGTTGGAGCTGGAGAGTTGGAGCTGGAGAGTTGGAGCTGGAGAGTTGGAGCTGGAAAGTTGGAGCTGGAGAGTTGGAGCTGTAGAGTTGGAGAGTTGGAGCTGGAGAGTTGGAGCTGGAGAGTTGGAGCTGGAGAGCTGGAGCTGTAGAGTTGGAGCTGGAGAGTTGGAGCTGGAGAGTTGGAGCTGGAGAGTTGGAGCTGGAGAGTTGGAGCTGGAGAGTTGGAGCTGGAGAGTTGGAGCTGGAGAGTTGGAGCTGGAGAGCTGGAGCTGGAGAGCTGGAGCTGGAGAGTTGGAGCTGGAGAGCTGGAGCTGTAGAGTTGGAGCTGGTATCTGTAGAAATATACAGGTGTTTGAGATAGAGATACATTTCTGTCAAACTGAACACGGGAAGGATGTGGTCAGGCGGAAGAGCATATAATTGCTAACCTACATGCCCCGAGTTCAGAACCTCGTTCGCTGGGTACTGCAACCCATCTAAGAGAGACAACTATAATCATCAAACAACAATTCAATATTGGCTAATCCACGCAAAAATCAGGTTGAAATCGGAATCTAGAGGCCATAAAATAAAATTTAAATCTTAACTAAGTTTGAGGTAATCACCGCTAATGCTATAACTAAGAACGAAAAGAAACTGCCCCCTAATGTTATTTCCAAAAAGTATGACAAGAATAATTGCAAATTACCAACTGTTAATTTTCAGCTTCCGAAAACTCGAGGACCAATAAGAAACATTCAAGTAAAGCTTCCAGCTGTGAAATTTCCTTCTTTAAAAAAAAGAAACCCACAAGGTAATAATACACTTTAATCTGGAAAATATATTTTCATTATTTCTACTGGATAAAACGAGCCATCATTACCTCGTTCATGGCGATAAAAACAGCGACACGATAGGCCGACTTCACAGTTGAACCCGTTAGATCTCCTTTGCTCTCCAGAAAGAGAACGTCTGATTGGTCCAGGGTTACGCCAATGAACTGAGGTCTTACAACCGCAGTCTGCTTGAGAGTAAACTCAATGGACGGTGACGTGTCCAGTTTTGGGAACCTACATGAGGGAGATGTTTTGTTAATCTGGCCAGTGACGTCACTTGTCAGTGTCATCACATGTCAGTGTCGTGACTTGTCACTGTCATCATTTGTCAGTGTCGTCACTTGTCACTGTCATCATTTGTCAGTAACGTAACGAAAGTATTCTTACAGTAAGCCACACCCTAGTTATGGCACCAGACCTTCATCATAAAAACAAATTATTGCATGTAAGGAAGTGAAACTCGCTTTCAATAAAACACATTTTTATTAAAACGAAGACCCCTTAATCACAATATCACAAGATTATCTACCCTACAACACAAAATGTTAAATTATTCGAAGATAAATAAAACACAATAGTGTTAGACAGTCGTACGTCGTTTCAACATGATAAGATGGGGCCATCCTTAACTCCACTGTGTTACCATCTTGCGTCGAGAATGGGAACATACCTTAACTCCACAGTGTTACCATCTTGCGTCGAGAATCGGAACATACCTTAACTCCATAGTGTTACCATCTTGCGTCGACACGACAATGACGCGAGCGAGACTGGAGATGTTCTTGGTGGGAAGCGTCACCAACATGTACTGCGTGTGGAGCAGACGCAGCGGTAGGATGTTGGCGAGTGTCAAACTCTCCACCCTGCTCGCTGATCCTGTTGAAAAAGAGACCCCCTGACATAATGGCCCATGACAAAATAACTGAAAGCAAAACGGCGCATGAAAAACTGCCCAGCATAAAATAGTCCAAAACTAAAATAAAATCCAATACAAAAATATCCATTGACTGAACGCCCATTACAAATTACTACTCGCAAAATTGTACCTGACAAAATGGTTTGGGACAAAATAGCAACTAAAAAAGAAACATTGAATAAAATAGCCACCCACATAAAAAGCCCATGTAAAAAATGAACCCAATTGACCATAATGACAATAATAAAATAACCAATCACAAAATAGCCCAATATAAAATGACCACTCACTAAATAGCCCAAGATAAAATGACCAATCACAAAATAGCCCATGACAAAAAAAATAACTTCCTTCCGAGACATTCCGTGAGACATTACGACACAAACTTAACTTTACGTTCTTTAGTAAAGATATAATTTTATAACTGAAGCATTATCTGGCCTACTCAACGACGCAACATTTTACAACAAAGTTTCACAAAAAAATTACTTTGACATACATCAAATATCTCATAATATGCCAAGGCAATTGTTCCTATTCAATAAACACAATTCAAATCATAAATCCTAGTATACAATAATTTATTGTAACTCAAGAGGGTATGATAACATACACACTGAACTTAAAACAAGCAAGAAGGCTAACGGGGAAGGAATACAATTGAATCATCGATTTTTTAAAATTGTAACATGTAATCAATAATTTTATTCTATTTTTAGCAATTTACAGAAAAAAAAACTATGAAATATTAATGTATTCGTTTCTTACACTGCATAATCTTACTTTACTGACAAGTTTTAAAAAAAGATAACGACCCACCAGTGATTTGTTGGATTTTAGTGTAGAGCGTGACGTGTATCCGGTACGATGACGTCACCAGCACCCCGCGGCTTGAACGCCCCGAGTCAGGGTGCACCAACGTCGAGGGGAGGTAGAACTTGTTGAAGGCGCCCAGCTGGACCGTCACGGAACTGACGGACATCACCGGGTGCCAGACGGTCACGTTCACCGGCGTGCTGTTGTAGGTGCCGGCTGTGATGGAGAGGTAGGCGCTCAGGGTGGCGTTGGTGAGGGCGTCCAGGTCGGCGGAGGTGTGGGGGAGGGCAAGGTGGAAGCTGTGCCGATCGCTCGTCTGCTTGGTGGTCTGGGGGCTGCTGGTGGAGGTTTGGGTCGCCTGTTGGTAGGTCCCAGATAATCCAAGGATTAGCAGACCCGAGACTGAAAGTAAGGAACAACTGGGAGATATATACTGATATATATATATACATCTGTCTCTCTCTCTCTCTTGCCTCCCTCTCTCTCTCTCTCTCTCTCTCTCTCTATATATATATATATATATATATATATATATATATATATATATATATACAGCTGCCTGATAGGGTATTATCTGATTAACACTACCCGTTTGATCGTATGACACTTGTTGAGATGATACTTGCGAATTAGAATAGGAATAATTTAAGGGGATACTAACCCGTTGTGTGTTTGTGCAGTGTTTCTTCCAGACTTTTTTCTCTAGGGGGGGGGGGGGCACTTGAAATTTTCGGGTGGGGGGCGGTTAACATTTTTCGGGGGAGGGGCGGACACTAGTAAAAGTGTATGTTTACTATATAAAATCCATCTCGTTCGGGGGGGGGGTAGACTAGAAGAGATGCCTGGAAGAAACTCTGTGCATACCGCTGTCCCCATAAAGAAAACAAAAACACTTTGCGCTGTCCCCAAAGTGTTGTTTAAAAAACAACTGTCTCTTTTCATGTTAACATTCAGTATAATGTATTGTATCCGAAGTATTGTAACATTCAGTATAATGTATTGTATCAGAAGTATTGTAACATTCAGTATAATGTATTGTATCAGAAATATTGTAACATTCAGTATAATGTATTGTATCAGAAGTATTGTAACATTCAGTATAATGTATTGTATCAGAAGTATTGTAACATTCAGTATAATGTATTGTATCAGAAGTATTGTAACATTCAGTATAATGTATTGTATCAGAAGTATTGTATTAGATGTATAGTTTCCTAGGTCCGAATAACACAGTTTTCAAATCGTGCATGCTATTTTTGTGTCTGTATCTTTATTTTTTAAACACGGTAACTTGATTACTGTTTCAATTAGGGGCCAAAATTTCAAATATATACATTTTAAATGTTACGAGCTGACCCGTTACGAAGCATACGCCGCCATCTTTTTGTTTTATTTTCTGCTTATCAACAATTCATATTTTGTGAGCTTGACACTACCCCCCGCCCCCTCCCTTACCCGCTCTTCCCCCTGCCCATCCCCTCACACCCCCCCCCCCTCCCAGTAAAAGCAGCCGTTTATAGACGACAATGTAAATATGAAGCAGAAATTGTTACCTCCCCTTCGTTTCAAATCGTTTAATACTTAATTACCTGCCCCTAATAGCCGTCACTAATTCAACCCGGCACTACGATTGTAAACATTCGTTTTGAACCAAATCTCACCAGATTGATGGAGGAGGGGTGGTAGCGATTTGCCTGGAGAGCGGGGGAATAACGGCGTGCGTCTACGTCTTGTCCCGCATGTTACCTATGATTATAGATATGGATACGTAGATTTTTGTCACCTTTATGCGATTTCCGGTACCCGGAAATTGTGGTTTATCCTGCTTTGCCATCGGGTAAGCAACATCGCATGACGATATGCGGATTGAGTTTTGATGGGTACAAAACCTAGAGCAGGTAGACTAGCCTTTTTTATCGTATCTGGCTTCCTACACCTTGAATTCAGCGAGCGTTGTCTTCTTGTGTTTTCCATCTCCATGCAGCTTAAGTTGGTGTTTTCTTAGCTTTGTTTATCTAAGACTAGGCTGGCTCCACTTCATGTTGTTAGGTCACGAACTCCCATCAAGTTCAGTTGTACATGTGAATCGATATTTGACACATTCGTCCGACCACGTCGAGGGTTCCAGGACTTAGAAATATCACGATACCAAATCGTATTATCTCCTCTGGTGCTCTTTATTACTGTGTCGCGCTATCGTATTTGTCAGTTATTATTCGAGGCCGCTAGTTCAATCGCCCGAACTGACAAAATCATGTCGCAAATCGAATGAATCGGATAGGTGTCTTGACCTTCGCCGAACACATTGGGTTCAACTGAACCCAGGTTAAGAACCACGGTGGATTAGGCGAACAACTTAGCACTTTCTGCAATGTTTACTTTTAAATACACATACTCTCAGCAGTAATGGATAGATCACCAACCACTATTGATTCCCGTTCATATCCTTGGATTGAATACACATGTGTAACATGAACACGTGATTAAAGGTCATGACTTTACGCTGTATTACTTCTTAGTGTAACACTAATTCTTGATATTAGACAATATTCTTTAGCTAACACTCATACACACACATTTATACACATACACAAGTACACAGAAGCATGAATGTTTGCGCCTTTCAATACAACATTTTCAAGTAAAACGTCTAAAACTTCATGAGCGCTTGAATGTGTTTTGTGGGATAAAATATACAACCATGTTCGTATCGTTGTACCCTAACTTTAACTTAACTGTTACCTTTTTTTTACAAAAAAAAAAAAAAAAAAAAAAAAATCTGTACGTGAGATAAAACTGAAATATTTTCTCGGCTCTAACTACCAAGCTTAAGTTTAAATAATAATCTACTTACGTTATGAAACACATGTAAATATGACACGATTTACAACACAAGTAAGATAGTTACAGATGAAACTAAAATCTGAGAAATACTTACTCAGATAGCTGTGGGCTCTCAGCCTCCACATTATCCTTATATCCAGGAATAAACAAAATGTCGCATTAAAAACAGTGCCAATTTAATCTTTACTTTAATACATTGTGTTTATCAAGTATTAAAACCAATGGAATATTTTCATGTAAAAGAATAAATTAACGGAATTTTACAAAAGTATATATCACGATTAACTTTAGTATTTGATAAGCTCAAGTTTATGAGTATTGTTTAAATGTATTTTAGCACAAAAAAGTATCGATTTAAGTTTGCGGTATTTCGATTTCTTTCTTACCTTTCATCAAACTTGACGTTTTTCTCAGACTGTAGTTAGATTATAAGGTATGTACCAGTAACAGAAAGCGCTATGTCAGCTCAAGTGTCTCTTTCAGAACTTCGGCTCAGGAGATATTTCCTGAGATCTATAATAATATACTATGACAAAATGCCTGGTGAATTTTTTAATAATTCAGAAGAATCGATACTGTTTTCGCTCCGCGATTGCTCTTAGCACAATTGAATTTGAACACAAACAATCGGTACTTAAAATATTTTTAACCAGCGAGGTTGGGTGCTGAATATTTGATAAAAAAGTGCTTTGTTCTTGCCGTCCGTCTTACGATCAATGCAATCGGTAACGAAATGCTATGCGGTTCTCAAAATATTATCAGGGGGCCCAAACTGAGACGAGTAAGTGATGTGTTTTTTTTTCTAATTTATAAAAAAAACAAAAACAAAACGTGACTGTATTATTGAATTGGCTGCTAATTTAATTTAATGAGACAGCAAAACTGTTTTTTTTAATGTTTTTTTTTAAACTTTAACAATCGGGGGAAAAAATTGAAATTTGAAAAAAATTAAAACGTGTCTCGAAAAATTGTAACGTAACCGCTTCTCTGGTAATAGAATCAGATAATTATAATTATAGTTTTAGTTATTGATCTAGGGGAGCTTGAAATGCATTGATTGTTTGATTTATTGATGAAAAAAAAAATAATTAATAAAGCTGTTTTTAATAGTTTTCAGGTAAGCAATGTTATCGACATATTAGTTAGTATCGAAAAAACACATTACACATTTGAAAATCGAGAAACTTGATGCCTTTATTTATTCATATATCAAGCAAACATATAGTCAAGCACACATGCGCACAACTACATATACATCCACACACAAAAACATCCACATATATAGACAAACACATCAACACACGTACAAACACTCACAAGTACACTCTCAAGTACACGTACACACACACGTACACGTGCACGTGCACGTACGCATACACGCATATAATCATAGATATAAATAAATACAACCACGCTTTACATTATATAAGCACACACAAAAAATACATACGAATCTAATACCTACCCCCAGAGTCAATTATCTCAGTTAATTATCCCCCAGCTTCATTACCTCACTTATCAATCACCAATCTCTCGTTAGCCTCAGTCTGGGCAATTAGTCCTACCTTCCAACATAAGAATACGTAGTAGACCAACGATCTCCATTTCAAGAACTTTTCCTTAGCAAACAACAATTTTATCAGTATCTTAATCCACGTCTCGAATTATCTCCATATCAATTCTACTTTCTATCAACACCATCCTCCTTGCCATTCTCTATCCATATCTTTGACACTATCCTAATTCTTGACTCTGTCTTTATCCATCACTTTTCCAGCTCCCTAATTGTAACCCAAATCCGAACACCAACCTATCATCCTATCACAATCCATATCCCGTTTGCTATCCTAATACCTGTATCTGTACTTACACTTAAAACTATAATTTTCAAACACTAATTCCCCTAAAGCTGTCCATAACGCTACGGCTAACCATAACCCTATCGCTTTTAATAACTTATATCCTAACCATGTACATAATTAACTATCCCTAATCCTAATTCCGATCCAAATCCTAATTCTGATCCTCATCTTGATCTTAATACTAATCCGAATCCAAATTCGGATCCTTATCCTGATCTGAATCCTAACCTGAATCCTAATCATAATCCCTATTCTAATCCCTATCCTAATCCTAATCCTAATCCCAACCGAAACCCCAAACCCAAACCCAAACCCAAACCCAATACCAATACCAATACCAATACCAATACCAATACCAATACCAATACCAATACCAATACCAATACCAATACCAATACCAATACCAATACCAATACCAATACCAATACCAATACCAATACCAATACCAATACCAATACCAATACCAATACCAATACCAATACCAATACCAATACCAATACCAATACCAATGCCAATGCCAATAACAATAACAATGCCAATGCCAATGCCAATGCCAATACCAATAGCAATAACAAGACCAATACCAACACCAACTCCAACACCAACACCAACACCAACACCAACACCAACACCAACTCCAACCACAACCACAACCACAACCACAACCACAAACACAACCACAACCACAACCAGAACCAGAACCAGAACCAGAACCTGAACCTGAACCTGAACCTGAACCTGAACCTGAACCTGAACCTGAACCTGAACCTGAACCTGAACCTGAACCTGAACCTGAACCTGAACCTGAACCTGAACCTGAACCTGAACCTGAACTGAAGCTGAATCGGAATCGGAATCGGAATCGGGATCAGGATCGGAATCCCAATCCCAATCCCAATCCCAATCCCAATCCCAATCCCAATCCTAATCTCAAATACTAATCCTAACCATAACCCTAATCCTAATCATATTCCTAATACTATTCCTATTTCTATTTCTATTATTATTACTCCTAATCCTAATCATAATCCTGGTTCTAATCACAATCACAATTACAATCACCATCAACATCCTCATCCTTAACCTTAATCTTATCCCCATCCCCATCCCCGTCCAGTCCCCAACCTACCAGCCCTAGTACATGACCTTGAATCACTGCTATGGTATTTTTATCCAGTGTATTACACGTCGTCATCTCAGCCAAAGTTTGATTTCCAAGCGAATTCCACTGACCTGGCCCCAAGGTTTTCTCTCTTCTATTTCTTTTTAAACAAAAAATCGTCGACAGTCACATGCCGGTGGTGTTGCGTTACAGTCGACTCCTTCGAGATAGCTTTAACACTTTTCTATTCCGACAACATTCAAAGTCAACTGACCAATGTTTCTTCCAGACTTTTTTCTACTTGCGGGGAGGGCAGGGGGGGGGGGGCGGACGACACTGTTAAAAATATGTATTTTCTATATAAATTCCATTTCTTTTTTTTTTTGGGGGGGGGGGGTGGTACTCTCTGCAACTGATTAACACTACTGCACCAGTGGCGTAGCCAGGATCGTCTCAGGGGGGGGGGGGGGTTCCAATTTTTACCCGGGGACAAACTTTCGATTTGCACCCCCCCCCTCAAACTTTCGATTTGCACCCCCCTTCAAACTTTCGATTTGCACCCCCCCCCTCAAACTTTCGATTTGCACCCCCCTTCAAACTTACGATTTGCACCCCCCCTCATACTTTTTCTATATACCGAGGGGTCTATGGAGGGGTTATGACCCCCCTAAACCCCCCCCCCCCTGCCTACGTCACTGTATTGCACAGTGTACAGAGACTCGACATGCAAGGAACATCCCGAAGTGAAGCTATAGATAACGCAAAGCACTTGACAATAACTAGCATGACGTAGTGTAACAGACTTGTGGATGTGTGTGTGTGTGTTGATCTATGGATGTGTGTGTGTTCGTGATGAACAATGGATATATGTGTGTGTGCGTTTGTGTGTGCGTTGACCTAAAATACTTTTTTTATTCCTATGCTAAAATACTGTCATATGCTCGATTACAAACCAAAAATAACTGTCATATGCTCGATTACAAACCAAAAATTACTGTCATATGCTCGATTACAAACCAAAAATTACTGTCATATGCTCGATTACAAACCAAAAATTACTGTCATATGCTCGATTACAAAAAAAAAAAAAACGGTTTACAGCCATGTAGACCAGAAAAAATCCCTCGGTCAATTGCTGCCTCGGTTAAACTTTTCCTGTTGTTTGATGTACCTGTCAGCGACCATTTATAACCATTTAATTGGCAAATCGACTAGTCATGCATCATTAATCATAGGGTCAAGAAGTACAACCGCCTTAAGGTACATTCATTCATTACATTATTGATTGCCTTTCTTGTTTTAATTTTAAGCTTTTAGCAAATGAAATAAACATGGAACGATACAAATATAAAAACACTGATGCATTCAAGATGTTGACATTTGAATTAGAAAATACAGTCAGTTGCTAAGAACATCGCATCTGAAAGGACGCAGTAAATGGCTTGGCCTAACCAGCGGGCTATTGGTCGCTATAAATAGCTGCTGTTACACGTGAAACAACGAGAGTTAAAATGGTAAGGATCTAATGGCTTCAGATGTAAAAGGAACCCTCTTACAAGGAACTGTGCCGGACAGGCGATAACGTGGTAGGCAAAATAAAGGAAAAGCACTGATGTCGGTAGACCGAAATAACAATACGATCACATGGGAACAAATCATGTTACTAGGGTTACTCAATAAATCTCCAAGATTCTCCTGACGCCTGGGCTAATGCTTAGAGCTGTTCTACTTCACTGCTGCGGTTTCCATACAGTAGACCATTGGTTATATCCAACCATACCCGCGTCCCGACAACCAGAGTTTCTTTCAGGCATCTCTCCGGGGGGGGGGGGGGGGGAGCCCGAGCCGGAGTTTCTTCCAGGCATCTCTTCGGAAGAAAGTCTACCGCCCCCCCCCTCCTCCCCGAAGAAAGTCTACCGCCCCCCACCCCCCCCCCCCCAACGAGATGGAATTTATATAGTAAACATATACTTTTACTAGTGTCCGCCCCCGCCGGAAAATGTTGACCGTCCCCCCCCCCCCCGAAAATATCAAGTACCCCCCTCCCCCCCCCGGAGAAAAAAGTCTGGAAGAAACATTGCGGACAACTAAGATCCAAAAAATATGTTTTTTTTAATACATTCAATAATTAAAGCACTATCTTTATAAAACGAAATCTATC